ACATTTATTGATATTAATCTACCTGCGAATTGAATTAACAAATCGATATAAAATTGATTTCGTCCTGTTTGTCTGTAATACTTATACTAATACATTGTCAAATATTGTAATTTAATTTTTGTAGGCTTAGTTGATTTCTTAGCTCATATTTAAACATGTTGACATAAATCTAGTTAACCATCAGTTCTCTCCCAACAAAATAAACATGTCTGTTAAAATATTTTCGATGCACAGAAAATGATTAAGAGTCATCGTAGAGTAATTTTTTGCATGATTCGTGTGTCCTATTCCTATATTGAATATAATTCCACTAGAATTTGTCATGAAAACGAAACTCCTAATTTAAAAACTTCACATCGTCTATTTCTATGCTATTTGATCTAATAAACTTCAATTGTTCTTCATATTTAAACTTTTGTTATTTGTATATAATGAAAAGAGCAATTCACTATATACTTTCTTGTAATTTGTACCACTGGATATTTATTTCCAGTTCTGTACTTTAATATGGCACCATTCGCACTTTATTGACAGCATATCTTGATTTTGAATCTTGATATCAACTAATAGATTTCAAAACATTCAGATTATTAAATTTGATATCAAAATAATAACTGATTTAGTTTTTTTTTCCAACACGCTAAGATTATTATACAGATTTTTGTGAAATTTTACCTAACTATCAAGAGTTGAACGTTCGATAAACAATTTTATAGTTTTCCCGTAATTTTTTTACAGATCTTTGTGAAAAATTAAAGGAAATCTGCGAAACTGTTTACCGAACACTCAGCTGTTCGGATTTCGGTAAAATTGTACAGATTTCTGTAAAAATTCTAAGTGTGTACCATAGTTATAATAACATTTTGATTACTAATTTTGTTTATTATTAACAAAATTACTAATATCAAAACGTGTACATGGATTTGTGATCACGAAAGCATTATTTGTTATATTTTTAATATCCTTCATATATACCATTTAAATCTCATTTTTTGTTATGATTACTGTCAACACGACCATACGGTAGGCAAAATATGTTATCACGGAAGCTTATATCCAAATACCCTGTCCTTTGCCTGTAGATTTGAAGACATACTTCAAATCTCCGCGTACATCGTACGGGTTAGGTAAAAGCTGTGCGTTTGACTTTGTACTATCCTTTGCTCATTTTCATACTGCCGTATTTTAACGGAACTATCTACCTACTCTCTTTTAAAGACCATTCTCTAGCTTATAAATTATCACACTAAAGCTTCATGTTAGATTGCATTTCCAACTAACTCCATAAAATGTAGTTTTCATTTTGTTTTCATTATTTGCTCGGCTATATTTTTATCCTCAAGCAATAGTATGGATGTTAATTCAAGTCTTAATTTTTTCAATTACTCCTTGCATTTGTTTGAGTCTTTGCAATAATATGATTTTAAGAACATCAATGTGAGGTCTGTGGATCAGTCAGATTAATATAAATAAGAAATGCTCACATATCTCTCCATTTTACAAACTATTCTCAAAGGTCACTATTGCAAACGATTTTGCTGGTTCATTGGCCTTTCACATTTTCGTCGAGAAAACCTCTGATTACCTGGTTTTAAAAACTATGCGTTTCTATATGCTTTATCATTGATGGTGAGATAGCTCTAAAGTCGGCGGCAATATCGGTGTTCGCGGCATGCACACCCATCAACTGTTACTTCCACTTGCGGGAAAACTTAAAAAAAATAACTTGAGGAAGTCGTCGTTAGAAGAGTTTGAAAAGTCGTGTATCGAAAAGGAGATGCTCCTAGTTCTTCCGTAAGCACGTTGATAATTCTAACTTTTCCGGATGGCACGAGGCACATTCTCCGGGTGTACCGTCGACGAACAACGCTGTAGAAGTAATAAACAAGTCGATAAAACACAACTATCTTCACCGAATTAGGAGCCACTCGGTACCATCAAGGAGAAGATTTTTGATATAGTCGTGATATAATGCAGGCATGGCGATCCAACGAAACAGAGCGAAGCCCGCATTTTCACGATTCAAGAGGAACGAAAAGCATTCCAATACATTAACAGTGCAGGAACAGTTCGAACTGTACAAGATATTGCTAGATTCTGCAATCTCACGTTCACGTCGATTGAGCAGTTCGTGAAAGAAATCGGAACAGTTTTCCGCGTTCAAATCACGGATGAAAGCCACCTAAAATGTAATTGCACATGCATCAAATTCTTCAAATCAAACGTGAGCCACCATACACTGATCGCTGCTGTGAAGCAAATAGTCTACCACCTTCGCCCGGAGGCAAACACAACAATAGTCAGCTCCAAGAAACCATCGGGTTGTCCAAAATTCGTCTCAAAAGCACTGGTTAGATATTGAACGAGCTTAACAGCGCAGGGTACGGCATTTTTTATGGTGTTATGTGAATTAATTGGTCTTCTTCCGGACTTGTTTTTTTTAAGTTTGCTGTAAATTGCTGTAAGAAAATCATGTATTAAAGAAAACACGAAGGAAACCTAATATTTAACAACAAAATTTTAAATATTTTACAATCCCTATTTTCAGAAAATCGTGTAACTCTCTGACTCTGTCTCTTCATTTGATGACGAAGAATCACTAGAGAAAGAATTTGACTCGACGCGCAGAAAAAAAGGGAATATCTTGTGAGAAGATCATTTGTTCTAATGACAAAATTTACATTTCAGGTTTCCATCATTCCATCTTACTTACTTCGTTACTTAGGTCTTGCAGACGTGCCAGTTATGGCTATTCGTTTATCTTATGGTGTATTCAAGTTCTGGCATGTGAAAGTTCTATGGTTCATAATTGGAACACACCATAACAGCACATCCAATACTAGTGCGTCCATTCCGCTCAACTTTGATGTGCTAATAAGTTCCATCGAAAATACAATCAAGAGTTGTTAATGTTTTATTTATTTATATATGTATCATTAACATAAAGGCGTCAGATTTGGCACACATGTTGCTGAAGCAAGCAATACAACACATCTTTTTTATTGAAGCCAAAAAACAAAACAAAAAAAACCTTCACAGTATTATCACCGTAGATGAATGAAAGTATGTTCTCTCAGATGTATCGTAAAAAACCGTGTACACAATTGTAACTATAAATAGTCTATTTTAAATTAACTAAAAACTGTATATTTTGAACTCACCAACCGTAAGAATCATCTTAATCACATCACTGGACAGGCTCACCAAAGATACCATACAACTATAAACAAGCGATTTGAACAGAAACAATTAATTCCATCTACACCAGGCCTCTGAACTACTGTGTACGTGACTGAAATTCAAAAATCTGTTACAATGCCACAATCTGGTCGGCTACTTTGAACAAAATATTAAATTTAATGGAGCGTTTTTTTATATTTTGCGGGAACATTTGCGCTGCTTTATTGATGCAAAACATAGCTGCCATTTGAAAAATGCCTGTATAAACTTTTTTAGAAGTATGCGTTTCATATAAGGGTTACGCGGAGTTTAACGAAACACGAAATTTGAAACATCGCTGTAACCTTTTTTGATTCTGGATGAATTAGTACTTAGAATTAATCCAACGTGAAAGGAACACTGACTTGGATTCTGATATCTACAAGTGTCAAAATGACTTTGTCGTTGCTATTTTTTAGTATATAATGCAAATTTCGATTTGTTCAGCGGAATTTTCTTATGAGTTAAAAGTATTCGCTTAGCAACTATAAAACATAACTTTTAACCCTCACACAGGCTAAATTCACCTTTTTACAATAGTTTTTTACTTAAGGCATCCTTAAAATAGCAAAATTATAAGCTCTGTACTATTGCATTACGTTTTTATGCATTATAAATTTCCACTAAGAAAAGTGGATGTTCTTGAATAAGATGACATATTAAATAGCGTTCTCCGATATTTTTCCGGATAAACGATGGGAAACTGTTCAGCCAAATATGCCCCATATTATACCAATAATCAAAAAATAAAAATTATAAAAAATTCAAAATCCATCTTTTTAAATTGCGCACGTACATCTGTTTTTCCTTGAGCGCGCCGGTGGTGAAGTGGTAAGCGTGATTACCTCTCATCCCAGAAGCCCTGGATTCAATCCCAGTCGCCCCGCCGGGATGTTCTGAGGCATAACATCTCTGATCACGCCTTCCGGAAGTAAAGCCGGTGGTCCCCGGTTCGTGAATTGTAATTTCACTCAAGATATAACATAACGCTTAGATAAATGTTCGTATACAAGTCTAGAATTGGCTCGAAAGGGTTAAACGAAAGCCACAAAGACATAACAGTTTGATGCGATCACCATACTCGCCTCCTGGAATGTGATTTGTGCACTGGTGACCTGGCCTTCATAAGACTCCCATCTGTCCGGTAAAACAATCAATAATTAATAACTATTGAAGTGCATCTAGAACACTAAGTTCAGAGCTGATAAAACGCCTAGAATATTCTCTAAAAGTTATCTCAAGGCGACTTTCTCGGGAAATTTAAAATAAAAAATTTAAACCTCAAAAACACATTAAATGAACTCTATGAGATATAAAAAATGGTTCTTGAACAAAATAGCTTGAAATCATCTCAGCAAAAATGTTACCGAAATCCATGCGTCTATATTTTCAAAAATATGAAAATTAGTTTTTAATTTTAAATTAGTTTTTAATGATTAACATAATTTAAAAAAATGACCTAAAGGAGGAGCTTTTAAGCAAACAAAAGTTACCTCAATACACAAAACGCTGCTGATGCTGGAATCTCCATGCTGGACTACTGTGCAATGTTTGGATCTATGGGCCAACATTAGAGTCGTTTCCCTACTAACTTTAGAATGTTAGGAATTTGTGCTATGTACTGTGCAATGTTTGGATCTATAGGCCAACATTAGAGTCGTTTCCTTACTAACTTTAGAGTGTTTGGAATTTGTTTTGAGTGATTGAGGTTGACAGCAATTTGATATTTCTAAAACGTAATTTCAGGGCGTTGTGAATACAATATTTAGAAAAAAAAATTTTTCTATAAAACGGCATGTGCTCTTGTATGCTGACAGTTTATTTCCTCCGATACATTGTCCATAGCTAAACTTGTACTATTAATTAATTGATCTCTTGTAATACTTGAATGGCTACAAGCATACGGCAAACACATGAAATTAAAAACAAATTAGAAATAAACACTTTCACTTTATATCAAACTAAAAGTTTATTACATATATCTCACTTGTATCCTATAGAAGAGTATTTGTCAATTCCAGAGAGAGTTGTTGTGTTCCTAAGGACTACCTTCAAACAGTGCTCTAAATTCACCACTTTTTGGCCTGGGTAAACTCATTCTTAAACTTTGATTCAACTCCGTCAAACTCAAATCAGAATGCACTTTTTTCAAGCTTCCACTTTCATCACTTTCGACATAAAAAGTAAAAGAAAAATTAATATTGTTGTTATTCTATTCACATAATCTATCTTACCTAAGATTATTTAAATTATTTTCTGCTTCAACTGCTAACGCATTTACCACAGCGCTTATTTGATTAGTTTCCGCGTTAGCTGATTCCGATTCCTCTTTATGAGACATAATATTAGGGTTCTTCCCGATTTTGTTTAACCTGTGGATTTAAATAAAAAACATCTTCAGTATGTGAATATTCAATGATTATTTTCTCTATCACTCACCTCTCTGCTGCTACAGTCTCCATTGTTTTTCTCATCAATGGATATTGGTCCAGAACAGCATTGAAATGATCTACACTCAAAGAGAATAAATTGCAGTAGGTTTCTGCTCGAACACTTGCAACACGCCTAGCATTGGTAAGAAGACAAATTTCTCCAAAATAAGATCCATCTGATAGTGAGGTTGCAACCTAAAAGAAGCCATATAAATTTGTCAAATGTTGTCTATTCATTACTATTATTGATAAAATATAAATCTAAAAAGGATAAAATTCTTGCAAACTCATGTTATACAGTGTCAAATATAAGAAAAAAAAAAAAAAAAAAAAAAAATTGAAACAAATCTGACCTCAAAATAAGTAAACAATTTATCGGAATGGATTGGTTATTAAAAGCAAACGTATTCTGGCACGACCAATTAAAATTTGGTAAGCAAAATTATGAGCTTAGAAACAGAGCTTTCGTATTAACTTAGTGGAGTCAATTTCACTGATAATTATCTCAGCAGCGAAGACATAATGAGTCTTACGGTTTCTTAGTTTCATAGTATCAATATCAATCGTACAATGAAAAAATCTTCCTTTGTACCCTCAGTAACCTTTTTCCAAGCCTTCAAGCTTAAATCGAATACATCACGGTGTCTCTGGCATTAATAATTTAATCTAAAAAAATCAGTATCGCAAAAGCACCATCATATGCTTTTCATTTGAGGCTAATTTTTTCTACCGGTTGTAATTTGTTTGGACTAAATAAGGCGGAAATGTTACGCAAAAGATTAACAATATTGAAAAAAAAAATTAAAACGAAAAAACTACAAGGGACAGCCCAATGAAGTTGTACGCAATGATGACCTAGGACTACGTGGTATGATATAATAAATATTTTTGTTAACTGCTGTTTGTTGTGTTTCGTGTAGGAATAGGAATTTTAGCGGGGTTCTCTCTGTTTATACTCTTTAGTATGACTATGGTTGCCCTGAAAAGAACCTTTTGATATGAATTTTAGTTGGGAAAGGTTCAGAAAATTAACTCTTTTGGAAAATGTTGATGGCCTTGGTTGATGGAAATGGTTGTTGAATCACATTTTCTCGGCACACCTTCAGCACACCTCGGGTTTCCTCGTACATCAGACCGATAAGTACCGTTGACCTGGTGAATCGCAACTAATGCGGTTGTCTGTATAACAGGTAGCTAACTGCGCGTTTGCATTAGAGTCAGCATATTCTTTGCTCGACTGTCGAGCTGTTCAGTCCGTATTTTCGCTCGAGTTGTCGATTCGCTTTTGTTTCGTTTTGTGCTGTCGCGTTGCGCCGTGGAAGTGTCGCCACCTTCTTGCGTTCTGGCAAGTTTAATTGAACTTGCAAACACAAATGGTGCGTAAACGTGCCAATGAGCCAGCAGCGGGCCCTTCAAAGAAGGTGCTAATCAAGCCTAGCGTGGCGCAGGATGACGCCGGAAAACGAGTACTGCAAGCCAACCAGTTTGCAGTACTCCCGGAAGAAAATGGCGATGGTGACGTTCCGAAGGATGTTGCCAAGTTGGGTGCCGAACTGGCAAAACACAAGCTGCTGCCTCGCTTCAAGCTTTGCAACATCGGTACCAAAATCATGTGCTCCAGCCTGGAGGAGTACAAACAAATAGGAAGTTTCCTGAAGAACAACAACGTGGACTTCTTCACGCATGATCTGCCATCGAGCAAGCCACTGAAGGTGGTTTTGCGTGGATTACCGTCGTTTGAGGCGGCTGCGGTGAAGTCAGAGCTGGAGCGGCTTGGGCTCCAACCTGAGGCCGTGTTCCAGATAAATCGGCGTCCCAACCAAAACAACAGCTTCCGTGATCAGTTGTTCCTGGTGTATTTCACGAAGGGATCCACCAGTCTTGCGGCTTTGAGATCCAAAATCCGGGACCTGTTTCAGGTCATCATCAGTTGGGAGCATTACAAACCCCAACATCGTGATGTAACGCAGTGTATGAACTGCCTCTCATATGGCCATGACACCAAAAACTGCCACATGAAGACAAACTGTGCCAAGTGTGCTGGAACTCACTCAACTGCATTCTGTGAGCAAGTCGATGACATCGAACCAACGTGTGTTAACTGTGGTGGAAACCACCAAGCCTCCAATCGCGGATGTCCCAAGCGAGTGGAGTTCATTAATATCCGTCGGAAGGCCACAATCAACAACCAGCTCGGTCGCCTTCGTAATCATCGTTCGCCTCCTGTACTAACGGAAGTCCAGTACCCAGCTCTCCAGCCCCGTCGACATGTTCTGAACCTAGCCCCGCTTCCGCTCAATAACCAACAAGCCAATCCTGCGAGTATCCAAATGGTTCCCAACAGTCGGACAGTTCAGCATCGTCTCGCTGTTGCTGCGGCCCAGCCAATTCCAGGTTCATCCAGCGCCCCTGGTTTATCATACGCTGGTGCTGTCTCAGGTGAATCTGTCAACGATTCTCCGTTCACCTCGCAGGAACTTGTGACGCTCGTGGCCGAGGTCATCATCATCATGCGTACCTGCAAGACTCGATCTGAACAGCTTCATGCTGCCTTGTCACTCGTCACCAAGTATGAACCGTGAAATTATAAAAATTTCAAATTGGAACGCTTGCTCACTGACGAACAAGCATAGAGAGCTACTCGATTTCCTCAACACCAAGGAGGTCGACATTGCTATGATCACCGAGACGCATTTGAAGCCCGAACTAAACATATTCCATCCCGACTTTTGGCTCGTCAGACTTGATCGCACCTGCTCTGGAGGTGGAGGAGTGGCCATCGCTGCAAGACGGGACATCAGTTGCCGGCTGCTACCAAACTTCCAGCTGAAAACAATTGAAGCCATCGGAGTGGCGGTGAGCACATCACTTGGCCCAATCACCATCATCGCGGCCTACTGCCCCAAGCAAACCAACATCAGGGACGGGTCGTCAGTGGCCCTCCGGAAAGACATCATCAAACTCACCCGGAGGAGCGGCAACTTTATCATCGCTGGCGATCTGAACGCAAAACACCAAGCTTGGGGCAACGGCCGGAGCAATAGAAACGGCATCATCCTCAATGAAGACCTGCAAGAGGGCCACTATACCTGTGGCATTCCAGGAGCTGAGCTTGGACCACTACCCGGTGGTGGCCGAAGTTGGATCCTCGGTAAACCGATTCGAAGCTTCCCGGCGCAACTACCATCGAGTCAACTGGGTGCAATATCAACATTGCGTCGACACAACCATCGACTACGGTGTCCAACCGGGGACGTCCGAAGATGTTGACCGGTGTCTACAAACCATCGAGGTGGCGATCTCCCGGGCCAGGGAATAACACGTGCCAGTATCCAGACAGGTGAGTAACACTCTGAACCTTGACAGCCCTACCAAAGATCTCATTAGACCCCATAACACCAGCCGTAGGCAGTACCAGCGTACTAGCCTGCCTAATTTGAAGACCAATTGTAATCGATTAACAAAGATCAGTCAGGCCCGGATGGTGGATCTCAGAAATAACGATTTTGCTAGTAAGATCCGCTCTCTCCCAGATCGTGCTAAGCCCTTCTGGAAACTTACAAAAAATCTTAAAAATAAGCCTAGGCCCATTCCACCACTGACCCCACTGGATCGTCCCAGCGACCCAGTGGTTCATCTGATAACTCCTGAAGAGAAGGCTGCCGCGATAGGTCAACACTTCGTCAGCTCCAATAATCTCGGACAAAACATCGTCAGCCCTCATGAATCTGAAATGCTGAAAATGCAACCAGTGTTCTTCAGATTCCTAACATTTTTCCAGAGGAATCCGAGATTACGGCTGACGAACTGTTGGCCTATATAAAATCGTCTAAAAACATGAAGGCCCCAGGTTTCGACAACATCCTGTATCTGGAACTCAAACACTTGAGTTCCAGATTCTACAACCATCTGCTTCCCCTCGTGTTGGAAGTCAGCTAAAGTCATGCCCGTCTGGATACCTGGGAAGGATCCGTCCTCTCCTTCAAGTTATCGACCAATCAGCCTTCTCTTAGGGTTATCAAAACTGTTCGAAAGAGCAGTGTACCACCGGCTCCTAACATCTGCCGATTAAAACAACTTGTTACTCGAGGAACAGTTTGGTTTTCGGAAAGGTCGTTCGACCTTCCACCAGCTGACTCAAGCAACAAACATTCTCAGACGGAACAAGTCTGTTTCGGAAACATCTGCCATGACGTTCAAATTGCAGCAGTACGGTCTTCCAATCTTCCTAGTTAAGATAATAAACAACTATCTATCAGACAGGACGTTCCGAGTCTCTCTGAATGGCATCAGATCGGATGCTTTCCACATCGGTGCCGGGGTTTCACAAGGAAGCATCCTTGGCCCCATCCTATTCAACCTGTTCACCTCCGATATGCCGGCTCTCCCTGATGGTGGATCGTTATCTCTGTTCGAAGATGACACATCCATCGTCTACAAGGGTAGGGTCATTGGAGCTCTGACTGCCAAACTTCAGAGAGGCCTAGACGTCCTGTCTGAATACTTCAACAGCTGGAAGATCCGTATCAACGCGGCAAAGACCCAGGTCATTATCTTTCCACACTCTAAATCTCCCAGACTTGTTCCGTCGGAAAAATAACAAGATCTTCCTGAACGGCACAGTGGTGGAATGGTCCAAAGAAGTCGTGTACCTCGGGCTAACACTAGACAGCAAGCTTCTTTTCAGGGAGCACGTTGACAAAACGAAAACCAAGTTCAACATCTTGATAAGATCGTTGTATCCACTTATCAACAGGAAGTCAACCCTGTCCCTGAAAAATAAACTTGCTGTCTACAAACAAATCATCCTTCCTGTAATCGAGTACGGTATGCCAATCTGGGAGAGTTGCGCAAAATGCCATCACCTTAAACTCCAAAGGGTCCAAAACAAGATCCTTAGGATGGTCCTAAACAGTCCACCGCGGACTAGAAATTCTGCGATCCACCTCCTGGCTGGAATTCAGACATTAGAAGAACGGAGAGAATTCATCCTGGAAAGATTTTTGAGACACCTGTCTCAGATCAAATCATCAGATCATACGTGATCTAGCACGTTAGGTTAAGTTATACTCGTATTTAGGTAGGTTATCACTTTTTTCAATTCAAGTAAAACAAATCCCCAAAGGGGTATTCTGTAAACTAGTTGAAAAACGCAAATATTAAATAAGAATATCAAATTAAACAAAGATGAAGAG